TTTCGCAGCTTGCTGTTTGGTTGGGATGGATGACTTTGGGGCTGTCACTCTTCTGAGAAATAGAAGGCTTTTGGAATTAGAAGAACATGTCCTGAGTTTTGGGTGGCATGGATGTTTGCAACACAACAAGGTCAAATGTCTGGATTTTAAAAATCCTTATGTTTAGGCGAGGGGCGGCATGGTGGCTCAGTAGTTGAGATGCTGGGTTTGTTGACTGGAAAGACAGCAGCCCATGTTTGAGACCCAAGTGCCATGCAGTGGGTGAGCTCCCATCCTCAGCCCAGCTTCTGCCCACCTAGCAGTTTGAAAGCATGCAAATGCAAGTAGATAAATAGGTACCACTTTGGTGAGAAGGAAAAAGCTCCCTGTGATGTCATGCTGGCGTATATGACCACGGAAGCTCTTCTTGCAACACTGCTTCCTTGGCTAGGAAATGGAGATTAGAGTCAGGAATGACTAGCGGCGTAAAATCCACAGGGACTCCTTACTTCCTTATCTTACGTTAGACGAGCCTTATTGAGAACATGGACTAGATACAAACTTAAATTGCTTCTGGAAACACCTTTGTGGAAGTTGGCCCAAGAAATATTTTATAGATGACAAATAACAGGCAAACACAAATGGTTAACGTATTGCGAGACACTAGAATGTTGTCAAGTGGGATGTAAAATAAAATCGTGAGAACAGCCGGTGGCAAGGGGTAGAACTGTCAATGGTTCTCTTATTTATAACTATTATAAGTAATTCTGGGGAAGACCATCTTCTGGGAGCCCAAGACAACTGCCAGCCAAGGGGTAGAATAATGCATTATGTTGAGAAACCATTCGGACCAGTAGAAGATTCCTAAAGTATAGTGGTTTTCTTTTTGTCCAACTCATTGACAAAGGCCAGTCAAACACCTGGGGATTTGTGCAATATGCTAAACTTAGTTCATGCTAACTCCATGTACATTTTTGTGAGTTGAAGGATTGGGTGAACCTACTGCAGTTCCTTTGGCCGCTTTATGATTCTACTAGGCGTATCTCTCTGGGAACTGAGTAATTTCATCAACCAAGATAAGTGTGTTTCTGCAACTTCACCCCAAAGTTATCGCAAGAAGATACCACAGTGAACAAAAATAGGCTGGAAGAAGAATAAACCAGAAGAGCTGCTGTTGAAAAGGAAGGGCAAAAAAATATGGATTTGACTTTAGAAAGGAGGAAGAGGAGAAGATTCCTCCTGATCTGATGAGGTGAATTCTGTCTGGTGGTGCAAAGCTCTGGCTTAAGTTCATCTGCCTTTATTCTTCCTTCTGGCAAATCCTGGTCCACATCAACAATTGCCTGATGATCCTGGGCACCTCTCTTGACCAAGTGAAGCCTCCTTAGAGATGGGTTCTTCAAAGGACAATTGGTTGAGCTATCCTTTCAAGAGAGGGACGTGGTGGCTCAGTGGTTAGGACACAAGCTTGTTGATCAGAAAGGTTGGCAGTTCAGTGGTTCGAATCCCCAGCACTGCGTAGCGGAGTGAACTCCTGTTACTTGTCCCAGCTTCTGTTAACCAAGCAGTTCAAAAGCATGTAAAAAATGCAAGTAGAAAAATAGGTACCACTTTGGTGGGAACAGCGTTCCATGCGCCTTCAGTGTTTAGTCCTGCCGGCCACATGACCCTGGAGACGTCTTCGGACAGCGATGGCTCTTCGGCTTTGTAACAGAGATGAGCACCGCTCCCTAGAACCGGAAACGACTAGCACATATGTGCGAGAGGAACCTTTACCTTTATCCTTTCAAGAAGATCAGATTGTATCAGATCAGACGTGTGACTGCCGCATCTATATCGACGATCTTCTGTAAGCGCCTCCAGTTTAAACGAACCAAATTAAAAACCCTGGTTTTAAGAAAAAAAATCCATGTAACCCTTTCAATCTTGAATGGCTTTATGTTGGGGCCCAAGAGGAGAACACGCTCCAAGAAAGGACGAGGAAGAGGCGCAGGCTTTCCAAATCCCATTGGTTCTGTCGCCGAGCACTGTGTGATATTGCTATGGCAACAGGATAAAGGAAGAGCCCTCAATACTGAGAGGATTCATTCAAATCCTTTTTTAACTGAGCAGAGAGAGAGAGAGAGAGCGCGAGCAGAGAGGCAGAGCAGCCGAGAAACCCCATATCTTGGCTCTGATTTCCCACACTGAACACAAGCCATCAAGGGGTTGCAAACAAAACTCGCCTTTGATTTCAGGGTGCGCACACATGCACAGCTCTGACGCTTGTCCTGTGATCTGGGTGCTTAAAACAGTGCTGTGCTGTGCTTAGGATCTCAACAAAGAACCAGGCAAATATTATTGGCGTTTGACTTGACTCTGAATGCCAGACAGCCAGGCCTCTGTACCTGTGTTGACTAATCAAGAGAGTGACTTTGCAGACTAATAGAATAACAAGAGTTTGGAAGGGACCTTGGAGGTCTTCTAGTCCAACCCTCTGCTCAAGCAGGAGACTCCATGCCATGGTTGTCCAATCTCTTCTTAAAAACCTCCAGTGTTGGAGCACAACTCCACAACTTTGGAAGGGATATTTTGTCCAAACCAGTCCCTTCAATTTTGAAGCCATGATGTTCTTCTTCTGCCTGGACCTGGTTTGTCTTCAATCTTTCCTTGGAGGATGAAGTATGGCGTATTTTTCACAGAGTGTTGCATCACATGTCGAAAGTATTCCAACTTTCACTTTTTGAACTCTGTGGAGAACATAAAACTACCCAAAAGAAGTGACCACCCAACTTCTGTGTTCTTTGGGAAAACTTTCTTTCCTCTCCTGGTTTGGTTCTGCAACCCAACAAGACAGACACAGACTTCAGAAGATAATTAGGACTGCAGAAAAAAACATTACTACCAACCTGCCTTCCATGGAGGACCTGTACACTGCACGAGTCAAAAAGAGGGCTGGGAAAATGTCTACAGACCCCTCACATCCTGGACATAAACTGTTTCAACTCCTACCCTCAAAACGACGCTATAGAGCACTGCACACCAGAACAACTAGACACAAGGAGAGTTTTTCCCCAAAAGCCATCACTCTGCTAAACAAATAATTCCCTCAACACTGTCCAACTGTTTACAAAGTCTGCACTACTATTACTATTAATTTTCTCATCATTCTTTATCACCCTTCCCCTCCCACTTGTGACTGTATGACTATAACTTTGTCACTTGTATCCTTACGATTTATCTTGACAGTTTCCTAGAAAGATTTGATTGCTTATTTGTACCCTATGACTATCATTAAGTCTTCTACCTTATGATTCTTGGCTCTTGATGAATGTATCCTTTCTTTTTATGTACACTGAAAGCATATGCACTAAAGACAAATTCCTTGTGTGTCCAATCATACTTGGCCAATAAAGAACTCCTATTCTATTCTATTCTATCCTATTCTATTCTATTCTATTCTATTCTATTCTATTCTACTCTACTCTACTCTACTCTACTCTACTCTATTGTGTGGTGTTTCAGTGCAACACGGATGCCAGGCATTAGAGAATAATGGTAATAAATAATAGAAGCCCATAGCCTCAAATGAGTTTAGCTTGAAGTGAACCTTCCCCCAAAGCTTTTCCAGTTGGATTGTCCACTTAAATACACATGCCTTAATTACATGAGGGCAACACTTCTAAATATGATTGACCATGGGTCAAAGGAGTTCTCAGTAGAATATTCTGGAAGCTTGCTTTCTGGGTGCCATTGAAGGTGCCGGTGACCATCTCTAAGAAGAGCTTCATGGCACAGGACTGGTTATCTGAGGGACTGCCTAGTTCTGCTCATTCTTTACAATCAGGTGGAAGGGCCATTAGAAGTCATTTCAAGATGAAGCTTTAGCACAAGGGTCTTCAAACTTGGCAAATTTTAAGACTTGTGGACTTCAACTCCCAGAATTCCTGAGCTAACATGACTGGAGGAGAAATTCTGAGAGTTGAAGACCACAAGTCTTAAAATTTGCCAAGTTTGAAGACCCCCGCTTTAACAGAATCTGTAGGGCCATCGATTCTTCACCCTCACACGAGCACAGGAAAGTCTCTGAAATTTCATCACATTCACTTGCAGGCCCTCTCCTGCGTTTCACAGTTTCTGCTTCAGATCTTCACTTCTGAAAGACCTCCATCTTTTGTACCAAATAAGTTAGGCAGCATCAAAGATGCCTTCCCTCAAGGCCCAATGCCTGTGAAGTGACTATCACCCCTCAAAAGGCCCTGCCCAACAATAGGCCAATGTGCATTGAGAAAGACATGGATTTAAATGCTTGTTTATACATTGTTTATTTCGTTCCCCCTTTTTTGATGGACTGTTCAGGAACACTGCCAAATACTTCAAAGCCTGAAGGGCCCACTGTTCTGACTCATAACAAATCTTCGGAAAGGCAAGAAAACAATTTTTTTTTCCAGAATGCGTGGAGAAAACAGAAAGCCAGGGAGAGAAAATGACTACTTTGGTAAAACAGAACATTCTCAAAGATTAGAAAGTTCAACTCTTTTTGGACAGATGGGAGTTCATGCCACGGTCTTTGGATTTTTCTTCTCTTATTATATCATATTATATTCTCTTATTATATATATCTTATTATATAAGATTTTTCTTATATGGTTTTAGAAAATCCATTCATCATCTCATCATCTTCTTTTAATGACCCCATAATACCTTGTGGGTGGAGTCTGAGCAACTGAATGGAGCTGAGTGTTTACTGGCCAGATGCCCTTCCTGTTGCCAATGTGGAGTTTTGTTCAGCAGATATATTCTCACTGCGCCCAGAGAGAGAAATATCTGCCTCTACCGAGGATTGAACTCACAGCCTCCTGATTATGTGCTGAGAGCTCCACCTCAAGGCCACCGCACCACTCCATTTCACGCGAGAACTATCCCAACATATATGTTCTGCCCATTCCTTAACTACCTGAACCCAAGTTCCAAATGTTAACATGCAAATCCTATCCCAACCCTGCAGATTAGCTACTACTGTGAGCATCTCCTGTTCCTACCTTCTTAAGGATCGTGTGGGACATGGAAGCGTTGGCGTGGACAATGATGGTGGCGGTTTTGTCATCCCTGATCTCTTTTAGCAATGGTGTGGGATCCCAGCTTTCATCCAACATCCGAATGGAGAGCGTTTCCTTCGAGATAAGGAACTGTCGGAGCAATTTCTCCAGGTTTAGAAGGCCTGCAGGGGAAAGGAACACAGGTTCAATATGAAGTGTCATCCATCAGCAACCCAGAATGATTAGGTTAGGTCAAACCGGTTGAAAAGAAATCTGGGAAAACTTAGTGCAGGATTTGTCCCTGTAATCTTACCCCATCTTTCTCTTAGTTACATGAAAATGATCCAAAAGGCCCTTCACCTTACAGCATCCTTTCTTGGTTGAAGAATGTCACATTTCCCGCCCATCCTGCATGATTATTCTTCACTAGTCAGTTCAATGTGAAGAAATTCAACAAGTACAACAAATATTACTGCAGAGGTCTGATTGACTTATCATGACCCATCAAATCAGTGTTCGCAAGCACAGGGATAGAAGTTCTCCATGAGGATCTCTTCTTAACCTTCAGGTCCTTCAGGTCTTGTGGCTCTGCATACATCACCACCATAACTCAGGCCACCTACTTTCCTGCCATCCTCTTCTTCCCTCCCTCTTTCCCAGCAGGACAGCCTTCTCCAGAAAGCTAATGAGGAAGGATAACTTGAGCCTAGTTCTTTGTCCCTCAAGGGAGAACAATACAACACTATACAACATAACAATACAAGCGCACACAATAGATACAAACTCAAGGTAAACCGCACCAAACTTAATTGCAGGAAATACGACTTCAGCAACAGAGTGGTCAATGTCTGGAACACTGTACCTGACTCTGTGGTTTCTTCCCCAAACCCCAAAAACTTTCACCTTAGACTGTCTACTATTGACCTCACCCCTTTCCTAAGAGGTCTGTAGGAGGAGTGCATAAGCGCACCAACATGCCTACCGTCCCTGTCCTATTGTTTCTTTTTTTTTCTTATATGTATCCATTTCATGTATTCATAACCATGTTTATACTTATACCTGTAATCTTATAATCGCTTGACAAAATAAAATAAATAAATAAAAAATAAAAATAAATAAACAGACTCTGAGTTGATTGGTTCACTTCTCTGTTTGGGTAGTTTTCTGGACTGTCCGTGGTGTTCTCAAGAGTCTTGTCCAGCGGCTAAAGTTCAAGAACATCACTATCCCAACGGTGCTTTTTTGGGAGGCAACTGGACTTTCTTGTTTCTTCTTTCAAAAACGTTTCTCTTCTCATCCAAGAAGCTTCTTCAGCTCTGACAGGATGGTGGGGAAGGGAAGGATTTATACTCCTTGCAGACAGCTGGTCATTTGCATCCTTTTAGAGGGTCGTTGAGGCCACTTGGAGGTTTATCTGTGTCCTCAGGGTCACTTGAGTAATGCTAATGGTTCCTGTAGCTGCAGTTTTTTTAAAATTTGGAAATCCATTCCTTCTCCCACACCATTCAAAGGGGGTTCACCCCAAAACGTCTTCAAAGAAAAATCCAGAAAGTCCAGTTGCCTCCTGAAAAAAAAAAAGGCACCCTTGGGACAACCTTGACCTGGATGACTGAGAATCTCTACAGACTTTTAGCTATACAATTTGGGATGGACACCCTTGGAATGGTGTGGGAGTAGGAAGGGATTTCCAGGGGGGAAAAATTGCAGGCTACAGGAACCATTTGCACCACTCAAGTGACCCTGAGGACACAGATGAACCTCCAAGTGGCCTCAACAACCCATTAAAAGAATGCAAATGTCCAGCTCTCTGCAAGGAGTATAAATCCTTCCATTCCCCTCCATCCAGTCAGAGCCGAAGAAGCTTCTTGGATGAGAAGCAAAACATCTTCAAAAAGAAAAAAAAACAAGAAAGTCCAGTTGCCTCCTGCAAAAGCACTTTTTTGGGACAACCATGACCTGGAGGATGGAGAATCTCTACAAAGAACATCAGTATTTTTGATATCCACAGAGAACCATCTTTGGGGCTGCAGGATTTTGTGAGAGCCACACACCCACCTGGTTCTATTATGACCTGCTCCTTCAGGTAAATTTGGATATCAACGGGATATATTGTACAAACACAGCTATGTACTTTATTGGCAAACAGTACAAAAATACTATTATTGTCCTTTCCCCAGGACATTGATTCCCTTGCTTCTCAGCGTTGCCTGCAAACCTAAAGTTCCTTTGATGGCTGCCCATCCAGTTATTAGCCAACTCTAACCCTACTTAGCTATTTTATTATCAACATGTTTAGCTAAGGTCTGGCTCTCAAAACTCAAATGCCTTTATAGGTTAGCTAGCAAAACATAGCAGGCTTTATTTATATCTTCCTTCCAAGGAGCCACATCTCTTTTAATCCCACAGAACAACTTTCCCCAACCTGCTACTGAACTCTCCAGATGTGTAGGGACCTCTGGAAACAGCTGGAAAGTATCAGATTGGAAAATTGACCAGAGAGCGGTAACAATGGACCACAATGTTAGGTTGCTATCATGACTATTATTTCCTCTATTCTACTGTTTATCTCAGTGTGAACCAAGAAATATAACCTCGTACTTCTTGTTTCTCTGCTAAATCTCGTAAATTCGTCTTTCCCTGGTGTTTTTATTGGTCTTTTTCTGAAATTGCCCCCAAGTGCCCAAGTACATTCTCTGTGCCAATGTTGAGACAATTGCAACAAATCATTTCTTTTTTTTTTTTTTGAAATAACAAAACAAACTTCTGACTGTTGTACAATCCAACTTGAGCAATCATCCTAAAACGATGTTTCTTAAACTGGGATGTGGAATTACTGCTAAAGGGGCAATTTGGATGTATCCTGGGGGTAATGGAACAATTTGTAATTGCTTCTTTGTGAATTGAGGATCAAGGTTGGGACTGGCACTCCTGAATTGCTTGCGTAAAGCAATAGTATCTGTATTTTTGAGAAAGGGGCTGTGTGTGAATGGGATAATAGCAATAGCACTTAGACTTATATACCACTTCACAGTGCTTTTACAGCGGTTTACAGAGTCAGCTTAGTGCCCCCAACAATCTGGCTCCTCATTTTACCCACTTCAGAAGGATGGAAGGCTGAGTCAACCTTGAGCCTGGTGAGATTCAAACTCTCAAATTGCAGGCAGCCGGCAATCCGCAGAAGTAGCTGCAATACTGCATTCTAACTGCTCCACCATGGGTCTATAATGACATTATGGAGACTGGAAAGAAGGTAATTTGGTCAAACAGTTTAAAAAATCACTGGCTTGAGAGATGCAGATTATTTCAGACTTTTATTGCTTAGGGCAGATGCATCCAAGACTTCAACTCCCAGAATTTCCTAGCCAACCATGCTGACTGGGGAATTCTGGGTATTGAAGTCCACAGGTCTTCAAGGTGCCACGTTCAGGTACCTAGTATAAGAGGAGGATGTTCCATATTGTGTGAGAAATTGTTTTCCAACAAAATTGACTCTGAAAGATAGGCAGATTTTCTTTGAATCGATTGCTCTGAAAACTATGTGTTTTGCTGAGGAGCTGCTTTTTTGTTTAACTGATTAAAATTGAAATTACAACAATTTGCTACAGGTAACATTCAAGGAATATTTAATGAAGGTAATAGTTTCTCTTCAATGAACAACTTATGGAGCATTGTTTAAAAAACATGATCTTCTATTTCTTTTCCTCCCTCCCTCCATTTTTCATATAATTCATCTGTAATTAGAATTGATGGTAATTGATTAAAGCCTACAGTTTTAATTTTGTAATAAATGAGTCTATAATCAATCATGTTACTCAATAGAGATTAAGCTTTCAGCCATGAAATAAAATTTTGCAGCTTTGGGGAAAATATTTTTAATTTATGTTTGTTGTTATTTGTAAAATCTCTAGGAGGGGAAAATTAACAATCCTCCACTCCCAAAATGAGATTTTTTTTAAAAAAATAGGAACTAAGCATTAGATCATCAAAAACAGAAAGAATAGTTAGGATCCACACAACATGTTTCACAAACCGCAGGGGTGAAGTTCACAACAGATGTACAATGTGGGAACAAGGTCATTTGTTAAAAGCTGTCCTGTTTCTGGTGGACTTCATAAACACAGAAAGATCTAGAACACAAGTTGTGGGTCTCAAAATTCCAGAGAGCTTCTTCTCATCTTCAGGTGTTTTAATTTTAATTTGATTATATATTTTGGGGTTCATCCATCTTTCATTCAGTCTTCATGGCGATATCATCATCTTCTTTTTAATGACCCCATAATCCCTTGCGGGGTGGAGTCTGAGCAACTGAATGGAGCTGAGTGTTTACGGGCCGGATGTCTTTCCTATCACCAATGCGGAGTTTTGTTCCCCATGGCGATATCCCGTTGACCCAAAGAAATACAGACAGCTTTATCTTCAAAATACAAAGTAAATTGGTCGGCCCGGGACCTCTGAACTTCCAGTAGACAAGCGATGACTACAGTACTGGTTGGACCATCAACCGTAGCTGAGAGAATCTCTTCCTCCAAGAGACATTAAGAAGCCATTTGGAAAAATCTACATTCGGGACTGGATCATTTGCATGTTCATCCCTTTGTGTGTTTGAGGCACTGTATCATCCAGGCATTGACCTATCCATGACAGTTCCCTCACCCGTAAACTACCTTTCTGAAACAATTATGTCTTGCTACCTTTATTGCATTCAACCTCTTCCCCTCTCCCTTGACTTGGTTGATTGGATTGCCCTTTCAAACCTGATCCCTTCATAATTAGAAGCATCACTTTGAAATCCTCCTCGGGGAATCTCCTTCCAGATAGCCCTGCTTGCTAAAAAGCTACAACTCTGGGCTTCAAATTTTTTAGCAAGGGGCTCTCTGCCCTAATGACTAGCTGGGTGGGCGTGGCTGGGTGGGTGTGGCCAACTTGTCATCACTTCTTTGCCCTAATTACCTAAAAAAAGAAGATACATACCAAAATATATATATATATACCGTGCATTTAATTTAATACTTAAATAAAAGCCTCTGCAAGGCTTTTCAGGCTGAATTATAGGCTGGTATTACAGGAAGTGATGAAATGGGCCTATAATTTGGTCTGAAAAGCCTTACAGAGGCTTTTTCCAAGCCTCTGGGAAGCTGAAAAAGGCCTCAAACCAACTGGAAAAAAAATCAGCTGTGAGGCG